ATCGCAATTAACTCCTATTACATTAAATTCAAAATTCAAAATTCAAATAACCTCCAATACCGTGTTTGTCTCATTCAATCAATGCTTTCACGCTCATTTGAGATATTTAATCGATTAAATATAAGTTTTAATCGATTAAATCAATTAAGAGGGATATTTAATCGATTAAATCTTCAAGTCAACCATTTTTGTCAATTTTGACCATTTAATCGATTAAACCATCAAGTTAATTGATTAAAGAGGGGCAAATTGGTAGATAATTTTTGAAATGGAGCTTGGTAGATAATTTTGGATAAGGGGCAAAATGATTATTAATTAATTAATGAAGGGAACAAGGGTCAAAACCCTTTCACGTGTTTCCTTCTATCCATTATTATCTTTTGTATTTTATTGATTGACAGACGGATGATTTTACTTCTGTTGTTTAGAATGTTATATATATGTTTTATTGGTCATTAAATTTTATATTTACTGGTTTCAGTCCTACCATTTATATTTATGATTAATAATTCACACAATTAATTTAATTAAGATAACTGTTTTTAAACAGATATGTCAGGGATGCAGTGAGATTAAGTTTCTACCATTCCCTGTTCATAATTAGGCTCTCGTACCTTTGATTTAAAATTTTAAAGAGCAGGTTTGCACAAGGTTTTCCAATTTTTCCAAATTAAATAAAAGTGGTGACGACTCCATTGTTTAAATAGTTTTTGAATATCCGACGGTCGTCCGGTCCCGATTTAGGTTGTGACAAGAGCCCTTGTATACATTAGTGTTCTGATTACTTATGGATAATTGTTGTAACATAACAGCATTCTGGCGAAATTGCAATATTGGAGAAATTGACCCCAATCTATTTTGATACTTAAATTTTCTATTCTTGAGTGCACTCTTACTTTATTCTTACTTTCCTTTTAGCTTAGTTTAGTAATTAGTCGGTAGTTTATATTAGTTTAGTCTTTATAGTTCTTAATTCACAAAACTTTCATAGATATTGTTATTTTTATTGTTTCACATTGATCCTAACTTTATAATTTTCTCCGTGGGAACGATATCTAGACTCACACATCTACTTTATTACTTGTTGACACGTACATTTACGTTAATGTGTGGTTATACAACTGCATAACAGTAGTCAATACTTACCTCAAAAACGCTTTTCCCGCTACAAAGGGGAAAATAATAAAAAGGATATGGCATGATAAACAAATGCCCCAAAAGGAAACTCTTTATAGCTTATAGACATAGCAAAATTGAAAGACATGCTTAAAGCCAAATCACGCACAAAACAAGTGGAGAAATAACAAAAGCCACAATACACAAATACAAAAACACCTAAATGCAAGCGAAATTACTACGTTTGTGCATTATTTATAGAAATAACAATAAAGGCGAAAGTACCTGATTGCAAGCAAAATCAAAAACGGAATAGAGAGTGAAGCCCTGAAATAATTACTTTCCAATCCCTAAAACTCAAAATGTAGAGACTAAAAGTGAAAACCACCATAACGAGTCTAATTTTTTCCCTTAAAAAAAAAAAAAAAAAAAAGACTGATTGACTTAAGCAGACCAAATGTAGACCCAACAAACCACCGTATCCGAAACTCGATTTGGATTACAAAAGAAAGAGACAAGAACAAACGAGGGATAGATATGGGAACAAAAAAGGAAACTTACGAGAGGAGGATCAGAGTTTTAAAAAACCTAGCTCGGTATATCCCAATTCTAATTTTCTCTTTGAGGATTCGTCTTTAATTCTTTTGAGTCGACTATAAGATTAATTTGGAATATAACGTGGGTCCAAAAGTGATATGTAGGGATCGAACCGAAACTATTTTCTTTTCACTGCTCAACTCCCTTACTATCAATTGAACTACCACCAATTGTAACATTTTTTTTTATCGTGCTTGTTGCGGTAAAAAAGATGGGTTATCTTTTGATTCATAGAGGTTAATTTTATAAAATTATCTCATATTTCCGTCAATATTTGACAATTAATCAAATATATAATTAAAAAACTTGAGTCAATATTCTTGATAATATTTTGATAATATTACCAGAAAGTTAACTTTTTCAACTTATTCCTGAAAATCATGATTTGAGGAGAAAAAAAATTATAATTTAACAAATGCACTCTAAATATAGTGTATGAGAATTTATTCTGATTAACGGTGGTTAATGCTGATGTGGCGTCACACGCAGCATTGGATGGATGGACGGTAGCGATGAGAAGTTTACTTGGCATCAAATTTCCAAATCAAAATGGATTCACTTTCGGGTTTCGGCAGAGAAAGTCTCGCCGGCAGGGGTCATAATAAGCCCAGGGCCGGTTCGTTTCGGCTCGGCTCGTCTCTTTTTATTATTAAGCTCAGACTTATACTCATGCAAAAGTCTTTTTATTTAAAAGGCCTCATGCTTCCATAGCCAAACCCGGCCTTGAAGCCTTGGAGGCTGGCCCATATACATTAAATTTATTTATTTTTTATATTTTTATATTAATCATTTCAACATCCTTTTCTCAGTTTTCTGTCTCTGCTCTATCTCTTCTCCCCGATCTAAGTCATTGTCCCACCAACAGGTAAATGAAGTCATGTTCATCATCTATTTTTATAAGCCATGCGAATTCCACGGCTTATAATGATGCTTATGGTCGTGACCGTGGAAGAAAATTTAATGTAAAATGTGGAAGAAAATTTATTGGTAGGGTTCAAATCTAGTGTAAAAAATCTAGAATATTAAGGAATGTGGAAGAAAATTTAATGTAAAAAATCTAGAATGTGGAAGAAAATTAAGGAAAAGCAACGTAAAATAAAGTAAAGGTGCTGTTGTTATTTTGATTTTTTAATATTAATTTTTTTAATTATAAAAGAAACAACTATTATTTTCTTACAAAAAAATACATATCAGTGCATGATTAATGGGCTAAATACTGCTACAAATTGGAAGGTAAGATTTTTATTTTTAATAAATAAACAGGCCATAGGCTTGAGATAGGCTTTTATTTTTTGTAAACGAACCAGGCCACAAGCTAATAATATATTTGTAACAGGTAACAAGCTAAGGCCAGTCTGACACGTTTAAATACAGGCTTGGCCCGTTAAGATCAAAGCTCGGCTCGGCTCGGCCCGTTAACACCCCTACTCGCTGGTGTTTTCTCTTCTATGTTTCGCTTCAAGGAAAAGAGTCCACATGTTTCCCCCTTACATTCCAAATCAAATTTGTGGCAGTTTTGAAAATAACTACACATTTATTTCACAATATCACGTTTAATTTGGGCGTCACCGATCACGCCCAAATTGGGCGACACTTAAGAGGTATTCACGCCTAATTTAGGCGTCACTTCTCAGGTGTTGACATGTGTCAAAAAAAAATTTCTTCAAAAAAATATTAAAAAACTTCTGAAGGCCATAACTTTTGACTCGGTTATCCAAATCAGGTAATTCTTTCTTTTTATACCACATAACTTTTCGAGATCTACGCAATGTCATCTCATTTGAAAAATTTTATTCTCACAAACACAATTTAAATTTGCAAGAATGGTATTATAAGAGCAGTTAAACCCAGAAACCTCTGAATTCTGGGTTTGTGATTTAATATAAAAAAAATAATAAACATTTGATTTTTGATTTAAATTAAAAAATAATATTTTTATTATTTTTATTAAAAAAACTGGTTTGTGATTTAAATTAAAAAATTATTATTATTAATAAGGAAAACAAAATAAAGATTTGATTTGTGATTTAAACTCAAAAATCAATTTGAAAAATCTGTATTAATAAAAGAAATAATTAAATAAATATTCTAAATTTTTAAGCCAGAAGGATTTTATTTTTGAAAAACATTCATAAGTTATAAGCTTCTGGGTTATTACTCGTGGTCTGAAATTAATGATGTCAATTTATACCCATATGAAAATGAGAACTCTTTCCTTCATTATTATTCTATTTATATTTAATGATTCATACAAATTATATTACTTATCAATTTTACTGATCTTTTTAATATTTTTATTATGTTCTCTTATTTATTTTTAATAATTTAACACACTATTAGGATTTGGGAGTTTAATCAAATATTTTTTTTTATAAATTATATTATCGTATTGTTAGGGGCATGTTATTGTTATATTACTTTTCTTTTTATTTTATATTAAACTATATTGTCTCCCGCTGTTATAGAAATAAATAAGGGAAATGTTATAATTACTATTTTTTTTCTTATTACTTGTTACTACTAAATCTTAACCGTTAATTTTCGTCAATCTAACGATTATAATTTATTAGGTCACACTTATTAATTAATTATTAATTATTAATTTATTGGTTCACAATCTAATGATTATAAGATAAAGTCTCATTATTGCAAATTCAAATTATGTTTCTGACAGATAAAATATGTCAAATGAAGTGTCATCATGTAGATCTTGAAAAATTATATGGAATCAAAAAAAAATTACCCGACTCGGATACCCGAGTGAAGAGTTATGACCTTCAAAAGTTTTACGATTAATTTTTTTTTTGGAAAAAAAAATGTGACACGTGTCAACACTTGATGAGTGACGCTTAAATTATGCGTGATTGCCTCTTGAGTTACCCCAAATTGGGCGTGATTGGTGATGCCCAAATTGGACGTGATATTGTGCAATAAATGTGTAATTAAAATTCATAATTTTTTATTTAAAAAATAATAAATTAATATTTTTGCCAAAATGCTCACCTGAAACTCTTGACCTACGTCGAGCACATTTTCACTGCTACTGCCTTTCACTAAAAGGAAAAAAAAATAAAGAATGGAAGGAAATAACCATAAACGGAGTCCATATTTGGTAAAAGATTCCATTTTTGGTAAAAGATTCCTTACAACTGTATTGTGGAGAAAATATTTTGCACCTACCTCTTTTGATGACGTGGACTTTAGAGTTAGCTGCTATAAGTATTAGCAGTTTACAACTTCTGTGTAACTTTTACCAATCAATTCATTCAATACTTTTCAATTCGTAAGACCCTGCGTAGCGTGCTAGCGTGTTTCGTGAGAAAAGGTGTGTTTCGATCTCAGCTACGCGCTTGTGATTTATTGTTGGATTATCTTGTTGCATGTTTTCTGGAACGCAATCATCTGTTGTTTCTCCGATGATGTGTTTCTGGACCCTAAAAGTTTTGATCTTTTACTTGACCTTATTGATCGGGGTCTGTTTTCTAGGGTGCCTCTTCCGCCTTGAATTTGTTGGTTGATTTTGATTTTCATTTCATTTTCTATTGTTTAATATGCTTATCTCTGTGTTTAAATAATTTTTCTTTTGATTTTGAGTTCTTGGGTGTGTTGCATACATGTTTATGATCTTTTGGGTTTTATTATTTATTTTATTTTATTCTGTTTTAATTTATTTTATTGCATCAATTTCTGGGATATTGGGATCGCTTTGCCGTTTGCTGAATGAAAATTCTAAATGGTCTACTTCTTAACTTGCTTTCAAATTTTGTTTTGATTTTATGAACGAAGTACTTGAACTCTCTTTCCCTTTCTGTTGTGCTGAGCAGGTTATAAAAGATGGCTGATAATAAGGACATTAAAACTCCAAACTTCTTCTTGGGCTAACAACCATTATTAGGCCCAATACCTTTAATGCTATATTGTCATGACAATAAGGTCTTAGTGTGTGACCCATTAGGCCCAACATAGCCACTGACATAAATGGGCTTGGGCCCAATAAGCCCACAACCCATCTAATGACAACACAGAGCACTAGCAATGCTTTGTTGCCCCAGAGCTAGTTAGGTTAATGACATAATCATCCTATTACACATATTTGGTTGCCGTATGTATTTCCTTTCGTCTCGGTTACCTTCTCATAAAACCTAAGGTAATGAAGCGTATCAACCCTTGCGGTTTAGGGTAAGCTTTATTCGAAATAGGGAATCTTCAATTTACTGACTTTAAAGGCAGATCATCTCATGATCTCTTTTACTATGCATAGATTCCCGAGTCCTTGTAAATGTCATCCCAATTTCTCCGGTTTACAGATAACCTAATCTCTCACAGAGATTTGACGAATTCCTCCAGCTTATCACCCTAGCCCTGTGCTCTTTCAGGACAAGCCCAACAGTATACCTATGAGTCTCCATGTTTCAGGCAGACGAGGTATACAGTCAAAGCATGCCTTCTAGAACACAGTCTATGCAATAACTTCTAGTCTAAGGAAAGACATACCCAAATATAAAGAGACTACTCTAATGATACTCTCTGTGAGATTTCCTCATAGAGTCTCTTTTGTGGGTCTGTTCAGTGCGAGCTATACCCTTATAGATCCACCCACGACTTTAGCTAAGATATCTCCATATCTGTAGCACATGAGGTCTTTACCTTGTATCTGTATACAAGTAGATAAGTCGTGCTAGTCTTACCCGAGATCACTGATCCCCATTCTCAGTGTCTCTAGACTAGGAACATAAAATTAGGAATAAATGTTCAGTATCCTTGAATCCTCATGATCGTGATCTCATCACTGATACTCAAGAGATACCTATTTTTATTCCAAGGGGTTTATCCAGTTACTCATATAAAATATTAACAATAATATTGATACAAAATATGAAACAGGATAAAGAGTGCTTTTATTTATTTGTGACAATATAAAAGGTCCACATATGTCCTAATTTAATCAAAAGATTGTCTCTAGGACATCCATATACTAACAAACTCCCACTTGGCCTAGAGCCAATCTGACCTAAGTCGTATACCTAAAGCCTCACCATGACTATCATGTTTTCTCTGAGAAACAGCCTTTGTAAGAGAATCGGCTAGGTTATTATCTGTGGGAACGTAATCCATCTTTACATCCTTCCTATCAATGATTACTCTAATCAGGTGATTTCTGCGGAGCACGTGTTTAGATCTTTGATGAGACCTAGGTTCCTTTGTCTGCGCAATGGCTCCAGTGCTTTCGCAAAGCAACTGTATGAGCTCATCTACGCTTGGAACCACCCTTAGTTCAGATATGAACTTCTTGATCCACACGACCTCCTTAGCCGCTTCAGAAGCAGCTATGTATTCAGCTTCTGTCGTTGAATCTGCTGTTGTCTCCTGCTTGGAACTCTTCCAAGATACTGCCCCACCATTTAAGGTGAACACGAACACTGATTGTGACTTACAGTCATCTTTGTCACTTTGAAAGCTGGCATTAGTGAACCCTTTCACTGAAAGCTCATCAACCCCACCATAGACCAGAAACGCATCCTTAGTTCTTCTTAAGTACTTAAGGATGGTCTTGACTGCTGTCCAGTGACCCTCTCCAGGGTCAGACTGGTATCTGCTCGTAATTCTTAAAGCATATGAGACATCTGGTTTCGTACATATCATGGCATACATGATGGGTCCAATAGCCGAAGCGTATGGAATTCCACTCATACGATCCTTCTCAGGCTGTGACTTAGGACACATAGCCTTTGAAAGATGTACCCCATGACTGACGGGAAGAAAATCCTTTTTCGACCCTTCCATGCTAAACCTCTTTAGCATCTTGTCAACATACGTGGATTGAGATAAGCCCAGCAGCCTATTGGATCTATCTCTATAGATCTTTATACCAAGTATAAAGGCCTCTTCTCCCAAATCCTTCATGGTGAAGCCTTTTGAAAGCCACTCTTTCGTTATTTGTAATGTGGGGATGTCATTTCCTATTAAAATATGTCATCTACATAAAGTACCAGGAAGACGACATTACTCCCACTAACCTTCTTGTAAACACAAGGTTCATCATCGTTCTTGATAAAACCGTTACTCTTAACGATTTCATCAAAACAAATATTCCAACTCCTTGATGCCTGCTACTATTGCAAGCATGATCCTAATAGATTTGATAATGGCAACCGGTGAGAAAGTCTCATCATATTCAACTCTTTGTTTTGACGATACCCTTTCGCCACCAACCTAGCTTTGTAGGTCTGAATGTTGCCATCTGCATCAGTCTTTCTTTTAAGGACCCATTTGTTACCGATAGGAACTATTCCTTGCGGTTTAGGAACCAAGGTCCATACCTTGTTTTGATACATCGAATCCATTTCAGATTCCATGGCTTTGAGCCATCTAGAAGAGTCAACATCCTTGACTACCTCTTCGTAGTTACTTGGTTCATCATCCTCGACGGTTTGCTGATTCTCAATCACAAACCCATACCTCTCAGGTGGATGGATGACCCTCGTACATCTATGGAGTTGTGTGTTTACTTCTCCATTGGAGAACGTCGCCTGCGGAGCAGACTCGGGTTCCTCAATCTGTTCTTGTGGTTCTTGTACTTCTTCAAGATCAATCTTACTCCCACTGGCTCCTTAAGAGATCAAATCCTTTCTCAAGGAACTCAGCATTCCTGGACACAAACACCTTGTGTTCATTCTTGGAGTAAAAGGAGTATCCCTTAGAACCTTGGGATACCCCACAAATAGACATTTAGTACTCTCATCACTAAGCTTGTCTGATGCCAACGCTTTGACATAAGCCAGCGATCCCCATACCCTGAGGTAACTCAGGTTGGGTTTCTTACCGTTCCATATCTTATATGGTGTGGTCTGAACAGATTTAGACGGTACCCTATTTAGAAGGTATGCCGCTGTATCTAAGGCATATCCCCAAAACGATTTGGAAGTTGAGTCTCACTCATCATAGACCTAACCATGTCTAACAAGGTCTTGTTTCTCCTTTCGAATACACCATTTTGGTGTGGTGTGTAAAGTGCAGTAAACTGCGAGAGAATTCCATTTCTCTTAGATAATCCTGAAACTCATGGCTCAGATCTTCACCACCATGATCTGATCGCAATGACTTAATCATCTTGCGACGTTGTTTCTCTACTTCATCAGTAAAGGTAATGAAATAGGAGTATCCTCGTCTAGCCTCAATAGACATTGTGCCACATACATCAGAGTGGATGAGTTCTAATAACTCACTAGCCCTATGAATCTTAGGCCCATTGGGCTTTTGATGAATCATTTTCCCAGCTAGACAAGATTCACATTGTCCATAGGATTCCAAATCCTTGGAATCTAGGTATCCATCTCTATGCATCCTAGACAATCTTGTTTCATTTATGTGCCCTAGTCTATAGTGCCAAAGATAGGATTGATTATCTATCCTAGGTCATTTCACATATACATTGAGCACTTCAGTTCCCATTTCCAAAACATACAAGCCATTTATTAAAGAAGCAGTACCAAAAATAATATCATTCAAAATGATAGTAAATGTACCGTCCCTAATAGTGAAAGCAAAACCATCTTGTTCTAAACAAGAAATAGAAATAATGTTTCTAGAAATGCCGGAAACATAAAGACAATTATTAAAATGCAATAAGAGGCCCGTAGGCTAATGAGGTCAGTATCTCCACCAGCATGAGCAGCAACTGTTGCTCCATCACCAATGCAGAGGTCCACCTCGTTCTTCTCCAATCTTCTAGGGCTCCTAAGCAGTGTTGTCAAACCCGGACCGACCCGGCCGGGTCGACCCGGGTCCCGATGACCCGGTTGAGTCACCGGTTTGGGTGAGCTATTAGACCGGTCAAGTAATCAGCCCCCAGTGACCCGCATGACCCGCCGAGTTTTTAACGGGTTCCGGTGACCCGCCGGGTTCTACGAACCGGTCCGGGTCAATGTAAAAAAAAAAACTTAAAAAATCACTGGGTCCAATAACTACGTCCTCAAAAAATCCCTAAAGTTTACCAAAGCCCTAACGGCTAAAGTGCTAAACTGTGTGAAATTCATAGTCTTCTTCGTCGTCGTGCCTGGTGCTGTTCTTCGTCGCCGCCGCCGCGTTGCTCCAAGTGAGTTTGAGTCTCCCTGTTTCCCTTTCATGGTTTACCTTTCTTTCAAATAGCTTCTTGCAAATAATGGTTCTAACCATTCTTGCAAATAACAGAGCACCGAAGCTTCTATAGCACCAGGCTTTTATCACTGCTCCGCCAAACCTCCATTTTGGTTCTTCATGTTCTCTTTCTTTTGTTTCTTTCATTCTTTTTCCCCAGATTTGTAATATCTCCTGATCAGATAGCAGGGATGCGTCCACTACAGTTCTTTTGATAATTTTTTAAAATTTAAGGGCATTAAAATTTTTAACTACAAATGAGTTTTATTGTCATTTACTTGTAGATTTCATTTTGCATTTCTTTATTTTGTTAATATTCAGATTTTAATTCCTATTATTCCAAATAATGGTCTATACAGTTATTTTATTCATATAATTGACAATGCATCAGAATATTCTAGTCTTGTTATTGCTAGAGTAGACCTTTGTATTCTTTGGTAGTGTTCTCCAAGAGGGTAGGCCAGATACAAGCAATTATTCATCATATTTTTGGATACCACGTCATGCAGGAAACTAGTAGTCCATTTATCTCAGATGGATCTAAACTAGTTGGAAATGTATAGAGTTGTATTTGGAGTTGTTAAAACTTCAAAGGCATAAGTAGTATTTTCAAGTTTTGGTATATTGCTATAACAACATTAATTGATCATGGCTACTGAGAAACAACCTTCAATTGGTCTATTATTGCATTCATTAAGCACGCCATATAGTTCTATTGCTATTAGTTATGTATGTATATTAATCAAAACGTGAATACTTGGATGAATAATCTCAGAAGCAAGAGGGGTTGTTCAAGACTTCAAGGTTATATTGGTTTCACTTGACATAAAAGTTGTACACTTCTATGCAGTATATGTACTCATTTATATGAAATGTTTTCTGCTAATGTTTAGATTCCTCCTATGATAATTTTACCTGAGTTTCCTTATGTAATGTGTCAAAATAAAACAAACACAGGGTTCCCAAGCAAGTAGAGATGACTTGTGCCAATTGCTAAGGGGTACTCCTAATTTATCTAAATTTATTATTTTCTTTTGAGAAGGGTGTTTACTTTATACCCTGTCAAAAATTGCTTGAGTTCTATTATGAAATATTAAGATTAAGATTGAGTTTTTCCAATTACTTAAGTCTTAGTGAAATGAAAATTGGTAACTGAGGACAACAAATCAAATGGGTAGAAGAAAAAAGGGATAACCTGTGATTAAAAAAAAAAGAACATGCCATTGTATTGATTCTTTTTCAGTGGGGGTGAGTGTTAACTGGGGAAATTTTATTTTATGGCCATTGTGCTTTTTATGTGTTTTGAAGATTTCTCAGGTTAATACTTGATAACAAAAGTCAAATTCATATTGATTCTTTTGGTTATAATTTCTTGTCTTATCCTTTTTTTTATGGATACCTTATTTGTTTTATCAGGGATCCAATCTAATGCATTATTGGTTGCAGTCCTCTCTTTATTTTGCACAGTTTATTTTCAAATTAGTATTCTTTTGAATTTGATGCAATAATTTTGTTTAATTTGATGCAGTGTTTTTTTAGCCTACATTACTAAGTTGTTGTGATTTGTGAAGATAGCTTCCACTGAACCCGAAAAAACACCATCATCACAAGATGTATCGTCTCAATTTTCATCCCAGCCGCATTATAGAGGAAAAGTTTATCCAAGTTGGTCTCATTGTAAGCAGGTTATGGAGCAAGGGAAAACTGTGAATATGTGTCTTCATTGTAATAAGATTATTAGGGGAGGTGGGATAAATCGGTTGAAGTTTCATTTGGCTGGAGAAAAAGGGCAAGTTGAAGCATGTAAGAAAGTTCCAGCTGAGATTCGTGCTCAGATGAAGCAAAATATTGATGAAAACAAGAAAAAGAAAAGAAAAGTTCAAGAGCAAGATCACGAAGGTGGTGAACATGTTGATGACTTGAGAATAACAAATGATCAAGTGCAACAAATTGCAAATTTATCAAGGAAATCACCTCTTATTTCTGAAAAGGGGAAGAGTATCAATTCCTCAGGTTCTTATTTTATCCCAAGAACAACTCCTGGAGCTCAACCGACTTTAAAAAGTGTGTTACAAAGCAAAGAAGTGATTCGAAAAGCTCACCTTGCTATATCAAAATGGATGGTTCATGCGCGTCTCCCATTTAATGCAGCCAACTCACCTTATTTTCAAGAAATGTTTGATGTTGTATGTAGCTTAGGTGCAGGATTTAAAGCTCCATCATATCACATGCTACGTGGTGATTTGCTAAATAGCCAAGTTGATGAGGTGAAGAAACTTCTTGAGAGCTATAGAGCTGTTTGGAAGCATACTGGATGCACTATTATGGCAGATGGATGGACTGATCGTTGTAGGCGCACTCTTATTAATTTTCTGGTTTATTGCCCAAAAGGAACATTTTTTGTGAATCTATTGATGTTTCTCATGCATCTAAAACTGCAGAATTATTATACCAGCTTTTTAAAGAAATAATTTTGTTTGTTGGGCCAGACAATGTTGTTCAAATTGTGACTGATAATGCTGCTAACTATGTTGCTGCTGGGAGGTTATTAGAGGCTGAGTTTCCTAAGATATTTTGGTCTCTGTGTGCTGCTCATTGTGTTAATCTAATGTTCCAAGATATTGGCAAGTTAGATGATGTAATTGAAGTTGTGGAACATGCTGCAAAAATCACCAAGTATGTTTATAACCATTGTCATCCGTTGTATTTGATGAGAAAATTTACAGGTGGAAAATAAATACTTCGTCCAGCTCCAACCCGTTTTGCCACAAATTTCATTGCTTTGCAAAGTATATTGGCTCAAAAAGATGCACTAAGAGAAATGGTAACATCAAGAGATTGGATAAGTTCAGCTTATTCCAAGGATGTGAAGGCAAAAAAATTTGTGGAGCAAGTGTTAGACTCTAAATTTTGGAAACAATGTGCTGATATTGTAAAACTTACTGAGCCACTTGTACGTGTATTACGTATTGTTGATAGTGAAGATAAGCCTGCCATGGGTTTTCTTTATCAGGCCATAATTAAAGCTAGAGAGGAGATGGTGAGGAGATTTCAAAGAAATAAGAAGAAGGTGGAGCCATATTTGAAAATCTTAGATACTCGTTGGGATTCACAGCTTCGTAAAAATTTACATGCTGCAGGTTATTGGTTAAATACAGGATGTCATTTTAATATAGATAAATTTGAAAAATATGAGTTCACAACATCTGGCCTCTTGGATGTCCTTGAGAGGTATTCTTTTGGGAATTCTGAGTTGCAAGCTAAATTGACAAATGAGATGAGGATATTCAAAGCTGCTGAAGGTGATTTAGGAAGGCAATCTGCTTTACGTGAACTAAATACAGTGATGCCAGGTAAAATTATTAACTTATCATAGTTGAAAAATATATTAGTATGAATTTATGAATACTACTTTTTTTATTACATTCTAGATAAATGGTGGGAATGTTATGGCTTTGGTGCACCAAACTTGAGAAAATTAGCAATTCGTATCCTAAGCCAAACTTGTAGTGCCTCGGGCTGTGAGCGAAATTGGAGTATATTTGAGCATATTCATTCAAAAAAGAGAAATAGGTTGCACCACAAAAAGCTTAATGATCTTGTCTATGTTTGTTGCAACTTGAACCTGCAAACAAGGTATTATTATGTTCATTTATTGTTTATATTCACTTGTTATATTATACATATAAATATGTGCAAGTAATTTTCTGATGTTGAAAATTAAAAATTTTAGGGATCAAACGAAGCGCCAAAATTATGACCCAATTGATTTGGCAATGATTGAGGAGCATTCTGATTAGATTTTGGAGATGTCACCAACATTATTAAATGATGAAGAAGAGGAAGTTTTACGTCAAAACATAGACTTGAATGTCGTTCCACTAATTGAAAATGATATTGGTATGCTTTTGTACAACATAATAAATAGAATTTTATTGTTCAATTTGATTTTGATCAATTAATATTTGCTATTAACTTACATGAAAATTTACTTGTCATAGATCAATTAAATTTGGATGAGGATGAAGATAATGATGCAGATTCACACAACGTGGAAGTTATAGCCCAAAATGAAAGCAATGTTGGTCAAGGTTTAGATGAGTTTGGTGGGCCTGAATTCATTGATTCAACTTTGGAACCATGGGCATAGTGATAACATGCATTTCTATTTATTTATGCTTATTTTGTGCAATTTATGGAGTAATTATGAACTTGTGAAACTGTAAAAGTGTGATTGGATATATTATATTTTGAGCTTATTTTGTGAGTTGACAGATGATGGATCTGTTTGATGGTTGGGGTTATAATATGTGTATCCTCAATAGTTATTTTGCTTGAAGTCTTGAACTACTCCTTTGGAAGAATTGAAGTTATGGTAATTACTTTTGTTAAGTTATTATTCTTATCTCTAGAAGTTTGTTGATATTGATGGTATCAACTTGGGTTATATGTTGCTACTCCATCCAAACAAAAAAACTTTACATATGCATACATGGATCAGGAAGAAGAGTTATTTTGTTCATTTTGCAAGATTTGGGATTTTTTGTAAAATCTTTACATATACATCCAGTGAGCAGGAAAAATTAATGTTTCTTAAGTTGTACTGAGATGCTGATTTTTTATATTTATATACATAATTACATATATTTATATATATTCGGGTCAACCGGTCCGACCAGTGACCCACCGGTCCGACCAGTGACCCAGTGACCCAGTACCCCGACCGGGTTGATGCCCGGTCCGGGTTTAACAATACTGCTCCTAAGCACCTGCAATCACATTGTAGATTATAAGAACCACAACCGGTATCCAATACCCATGAAGTCGGATTAGCACAAGAATAATTTATCTCAATCATGTAAATACCTGAGGTAGAAGCATCACCATGCTCCTTCACACTCTTCAGGTAGTCTGGACAATTCCTCTTCCAATGGCCATTCTTGCCACAATGGAAGCATACAACATCGCTTTTGTCCTTGGGTGCACTCTTACCTTTCTCTTTGCCCTTTTTCTTATTGGATTTTCCTTTGGGCTTAAGGGAGTTGCCTTTTGCAGGCTTCTTGCCCATACCCTTGGCCCTTTTAGGCCCACCAATCAGAAGAGCTTGTGTCTCATCCTTCTTGATAGACATTTCAGCAGTTGTTAACATACTTAACAACTCTGGCAAGCTCACAAGCATCCCATGCATGTTGTAATTCATTATGAATTCACTGAAAGCAGGAGGAAGTGATGATAGAACTAAGTCATTAATTAATTCAACATCCATTGTGAACCCTAGACCCTCTAGCTTCTCAATGAGCGCTATCATCTTCTGTACATGGCGGTTAAAACACATGCCTTCAGTCATCTTGCATAGGAACAATTCCCTAAAGGTCTCATACCTCTCATGTCTGCCTTTAATATCATACAACTCCCTGCGATGCAGGATAATAGAGGGGGCATCCATATGCTCGTGTTGTTTACGCAGTTCAGGCGACATGGATGCCAGCATGATGCAACAAGCCAACACATTATCATCCATGTGTTGCTTGTGGGCCTCGAAATCAAATTCCGTGAACCCATCTTCCCCTTCCTTAGGCGCAATAGGTAAAGCAGTGTCAAGGACATAAGCAACTTTTTCGGCCCGCAGAACATTTCTGACGTTCCGATACCAGTCCATAAAATTAGGACCGGTCAGTTTGTTCGTATCGAGTATTGAGCGCAGTGACATTGAATTAGTCATACTAAAAATTGAAAATGTAAAGATAGATTAATATATATTGTCGTGTAACAAATTATTAAAGACTTTAAATAATTTGCCCCTCCCACTATTTTATCTAAGTCAATGACCCTTACCATTTGACTTAGGGTTTATCTACTTTTAGATTTTACCTTAGTGGGATTAAGAGTGCGATTATTTATTTTAACCCTCGTCTGAGACCGCAAGATTAATTTAAATAATAGGTTTTTCCTCATCAATAGTATCTCATACCCTCTCGTAACATTAGGTTGACAACTCCTTGTCACTTAGTGGTGCATCTCATGCAACCAACCTAGCATTATTACCCTAAGCACATAAGCCCGGCTGAGCCTGCAACTTATGTCTCAGTTAAGTATTAACCAGCACCCTAAGTGTCTAACACTTCTAATACTACTCTTACTCAACGAAACAGTGGGTCCTAACTGAGTTGTGGAGCACCACTATGTAGAGGAGGTTCGAGTAATATTGGTGGTGGGAGGTAATCATATGCTTAATAATTTATTCCTTTTAAGGGTTCCTTTTATTTAGGGGTTTATTAGGTCTCATCAAACGCATTTATATTATTATCATGCTAGTCGTATCCTATGTCAAACATCTATCGGATTACACTAGTCATGATTGGACGTGCATAATAATACATACAAGCGCGCTTTGTCCAATTCATTCATACTAGTCGTTTAAACATAAAAGCATACATGCGAATAAAACAGTTTTATTTGAGACAGTCATGGTGCTCGTGCATTCGTCCTTCCGCTTCTCAAGCCATGGCTCCTTGTCGTCTAAACGCCACTAGCCTATTTCTCTAATTACATATAATTGAAGAAACTCCAAAACATCTTTGGAGGGACAAATACAAAATTTAAAATTCAAAATTACATTTTAATTCAAATTGAACAAAATTACACCTTTAATTTAAAATATAAAATTTGAAATTTAAACTCGGGCACCATGACCATCCCCTTCCAATTTGTACCTGTAAATACAAATAACTTGCAAGCACATAATATCACATATAACATGTTCATCCATACGTCAGATCATTTTAACATTTAAAATATCAACACAAGAATCATGATTCAAATTTTCTTAATGGCCGAATTATATAACAATTAATATAATTTAAATTTTGATGACTCTTTCTGAAAGAACAAAAAATTAAACCACACATGCTGACACCACACATGGTATGGCCGAATCACATATCACATATATGATTAAATTTTTAACAAAATTTCATGTCTTTCTCATGGAACAATTAACAGCGAAAATTAAGAAAACAATCAAGGTACTCATAGTACCCCTCATGGCCGACTTTATCCCTTTCAAAAAGGTGTTTCTTTTAAAACTTTCACAAAGAAAAGAAACAAAACCATGATCACATACAGACACATGAACATAGCAATCACATTAACATGTTCATAAAATAAAAACTTTAACGATTTAAACCATAGTATTTCGAAATCCATATGCTATGATTCAAGTTTTAATTCTTTAAAGAATTTTGACCGTAAAGAACAAGTTTTTACAAACAAGGTACCATCACCCGCCGATGGTAAAGCAACCGGGCTCTGATACCACTTGAAAGAAACTGACCTTGAAGGACGATGCATGTGAGAAGGAAAAACAAAATTTTTCGAGCGGAATAACACATACCATATCAAGAAACATGCTTTAGGGCATGGATGTTACCTTGTTTTCTTTCCAAAACTTGAGGATGATCAAGATGAGGCTTGAAGATGCAAGCCCTCTAATGTTGATCCACACCACCCTTTGTCAAGACGGAAGAACTCTTCTTCAAGGCCACCAACGGAAACACCAATAGAGGGAAGCTATGCGCCCAATGTGTGGAGGAGGAGGCTTGGTCAAGGTGTTTAGAAGAGTGAATATTCAGCAAGAATAGACACAAAAGTGGCGCATGGATTTACTTTGAAAAAGGCTAGGTTATTTCAAAACTCTCTTAAGAAAAACCTAACAAAAGGAACCCACAAGGAGATGAGAGAATGAGTTAATTAAAAATCTGATTTTCTTCACTCAAATAAGGCCCTATATATAGCGCACACTAGGGGGATGAGTGGAGTTGTTGCAAAATTCAAATCTTTCAACAACCTCCTCTCACATCCTCATGATATCAAGTGAATATCTTAACAAGAATCTGACTCAACAACCATCATATGGCCAGCCATATGGTGCGCCCCACTTGGCCTCATAACAGTCCAGATACATTGAACAGTTGCATTCAAACTTAAACCAACTGTCTCACTTATTCTCTCAACAAACCAAATCTGACTGGAGCTCATTTGGTTGATCCTATGACCATCATCAGATACCTAAATCAGCGCCCCATATCCTCACTAGAAGATTCTCAAAGATCTCCTCTTGATATTTGGGATTTGTTCCAACAAGATCTTATCATATCCTTTTGTTATGAAACAACTTTTCATAGCCAATTCAAATTTGAATTCAAACATTTGAATTCAAACGTTCAAATATTTAAATTTTAAATTCAAATTCAAATTTTAAATTCAAATTCAAATTCCAAATTCAAATTCAAATTTCAAATTCAAAATTCAAAATTCAAAATTCAAAATTTCAAATTTCAAATTCAAATTTCAAATTTCAAATTTCAAATTCAAAATTCAAAATTCGAATTTCAAAATTCAAATTCAAATTTCAAAATTCAAAATTCAAATTCAAAATTCAAAATTTAAACATTTGATAATTAATTTAACTAATTAAATTAATTAGTAATGTCTTGGACCATCCAAGCCCATTAACTAACCATGCGCAATTTTTTTTTTCTTTTGGTGGGCTTCCAAACTTCTTCTTGGGCTAACAACCATTATTAGGCCCAATACCTTTAATGCTATATTGTCATGACAATAAGGTGTTAGTGTGTGACCCATTAGGCCCAACATAGCCACTGACATAAATGGGCTTGGGCCCAATAAGCCCACAACTCATCTAATGACAACACAGAGCACTAGCAATGCTTTGTTGCCCCAGAGCTAGTTAGGTTAATGACATAATCATCCTATTACACATATTTGGTTGCCGTATGTA